AGCTCATCATCACTCTCATCTTGAGTGTCTGTATGATGCTCCTCTTGAATATGACTAGAACCAGGTTGATCTCTAGGTTCTATGTCAACAACTTGAGACTTTGTAGTCTCAGTATCATCGCCACTGGGCACTGTAGCTTTCAACGAAGCTATCATGGAGTTCTCATCAAAATGAACATCTTTGCTAATTATGAACTTAAAATCCTCTACACACCATAGGCGATAGCCTTTTACACCTGCCGCATACCCCAAGAATATAGCCTTCTTGGCCCTTGCATCAAGTTTTCCCTCGTTGACGTGATAGTAGGCTGTGCATCCGAATATTCTGAGTTTCTCATAATCTGCATGTTCTCCTGTCAATGCCCCGTAAGGTACATCTCCATCTAACTTTGAATGTGGAGATCGATTCATTATGTAGCAAGTATTTGCAACCGACTCTGCTCACTATTCTCTGCCCAAACCAGCATAGGATCGTATACACATCGATTTCTCTCAAAATGTGCGATTCAATCTTTCTGCAGCCCCATTCTGTTGTGGTGTATTCCTAACTGTCCAGTGTCTCGCAATGCCTTCCTTACCACAAAACTCCTTGAACGCACCATCTGTATACTTAGTACCGTTATCAGATCGCAGTGTCTTCAATTTCTTTCCTGTTCTGTTTTCAACCATTGCTTTCCACTTCTTGAAAGTGTCGAATACCTCATTCTTATGCTTCAAAAAATAAATCCAATCATATCTAGAATGATCATCAACAAATGTGACAAAATACCTGGAACTGCCTTTGGAAGTGACAGAAGCCGGACCCCATACATCTGTGTGCATATAGTCTAAAATACCTCTACTTCTATGTTTACTTGGCTGGAACTAAACTCAGTGTGCTTTACCGTACACGCAATGCTCGCAAAAATCTATGCAAGGCTTCTTCAAGTTCTTTAGCAAACCTTTCTTGACTAGCAGATCTAACCCCTTTTAAGACATATGCCCAAGCCTCCTATGCCATAGCCGAGTGCACTCACATGGGTCTTCACCACTTCCACTTGTTCCAACCGCTACATCTTTTGTAACTGTGGTACCTCGAACAGTATAGAGATTGCCTTCACGAATATCCTTCATAACAATCAAAGAACTACGAACAACATTCTTTACTCCATTCCATGTTACAATCTTGCAACCACCGGAGTCTAAAGCACCAACAGAGATAAGGTTCTTCCGCAAATCAGGAACATGTCTAACATCCATCAATGTTCTAACCACTCCATCATACATCTTGATTCTAATTAAATCGAGCCCCACCATTTTACAGGAATGGTTATTACCCATCAACACGGTTCCACCATCAGTGCTTCTATAGGTAGTAAACCACTTCCCATTTGGACACATATGATAAGAGCATCCAGAGTCAAAAATCCACTTACCGGAGATTTCTTCATCACAAGAGATGGTGTAGCACTCATCGCTTTCCCCTCCTTCCGAGGCATAGCTAACCTCTTGTTTGACTTGCACCTTCCCGTTGTTGTTGTTCTTCTTATTTTTCTTCTTCTAACCCCTTTTGTTAGTACAATTCGCCTTAAAATGCCCAAGATCGCCGCATTTGAAACAATGCCTTTCTGCAAGAGGTCTAGAACTCGATCTAGATTTTTCTCCCTTGCCCTTTGGTCGCACATTGCTTCTACCTCTTACAAACAATCATTGAGCTTGCTCCTTGTTACCAATGGTAAACATGCCACTAGTTGTAATCTTTTGAAGATCACTCGCTAGGAGTGACATTCTAGTGTCCTCCATCACAAGTTTATCACCCACAAGCATCAATGTTTTTACTAGGTTCTCGTAGGACTTTGGCAATGAAAGAAGTAGTAGAAGTGCTTGATCCTCATCATCTACTTTCACATGAATGTCCTTCAAGTCCGATATGCACCTATCAAACTTGTTGACGTACTCCCGAATTGGTGTACCTTCATTCATCTTGCAAGTATATAATTTGGATTTCAAATAGATCCGATTTGTTAGAGTCTTCATCATGAAGTTCGCCTCCAACTTTGTCCATACATCCGCCGCTGTTTCCTTACCATCAACCAAGAAAGCAACATCTCTTTCAAGGCATAGAATGATAGACGCTCGTGCCTCAAGATCTAGATCTTCCCAATCCTCGTCAGACATATCTATGCGCTTCTTCTCCTTTCCCGCCAGTGTCAACTTTTGAGAAATTAACAAATTTCTCATTTGCATTCTCCAATATGAGAAGTCATTCTTCCCATTGAATTTCTCTATCTCATACTTCCCAATTTTCACCGTTCCTCTAGTAGACATGATTTATCTACTTGTTTACCGGAAATAAAACAACAAAGTTCACTTGGAAATTTTCACAAACACCTTGTGTGCACAACAAAGTTCAAGCCACCCACCAAAAATCGAAGCTTAATCACCCAGATTTAAGAAGAGGCTCTGATACCAAATTGTTGGGAAAAAACACTTCCCAAGATTGCCCAAGAACAAATAAACATACAATGTGAAAATCTCAAACCACTTGAAGATGAAAAGAAAGATAAGAAATTTGGGGAAGAAATGATTTTCAATATATATGAGGAACAATAGATTGGATTATTTGAACAAACCTCAAGTTAATCCCTAAGAAAGAAAAATAGCTTTGAATTTATATCCAAGAAGAACAACATCTTTCTTGTTAAATTTTCTCCAAGCTTTCTATCCTTTTTCTCTTAATAAAAAACACACTAAATGAAGGCAAAAAATCAGCTATATAAAAACTGAATCGGGCGCCCCCCCCCCCCCCCCCCCCCCCCCCGGTTTCTGCTGAAGCAGAAACTGGGCGCCTAGGTGCCCTCCCTGCTTCTTCCTTTCTCACAGTCTAAACAATCCTAATAAGTTCATTAAACGCTATTGGTTACTAAATAGTTGAGCTTAGATAGGCAACAACATGAGAATAGAAACAATAACATTTTGTATGGATACATAAGTGGTCTCTAAACTTTTATAAATTTTGTGCGGAGCACTATTACTTCAATCCTTTTTGGTTCCAAGCTGATCGCTGTACTTTGAATTTGCTACGATTTGGTCACTCCATCCCTGTCCATTAGTTTGACCAACAAAAAAATATGACGATGCAGTCTAGTTATCTGCCAACAGCGCTGCAAACTAAATTGTCATGTCAGCTTTTTGATAATCTCACAATTGGACATAGATGAAATGACCAAATTGCAACAAATGTTTTGAGTCACCCAATTGGTACAAAGATTGAATTCAGTAACCAACTTGGAATAAAATGAAGTTTAGTTGAAAAGGCCCGACTTTGATAAACGATTAAAGAATGTTATGCAACGAAAATTTTATAAAGTAATCTGATGCAATCCAATCACTATAGCATGCATACCATGGTAAGGAAAATAAAAAAACCTTGACTACAAATCTCAATGAAAAGCTCATGAAGTTTGGAAACCTGGTTTATGTTTCACAATTATGCCTAGCTGCAAGTTTCTGAAAGTTGTAAGATTTCTTTTGTACTATTGCAATCTTGGCCGCAAAAGATGAATTATATTAGTATATTTCTCTTCCTAGGTGGATGGAAAAGGTCGTTTGTATACACAAATGCCTACCTGAGTCTCCAACTTCAATATTCTCTGTAAAGATATATGTTCAACATAAGCACGGCGTTTGCAATCTTCTACCAGCATGCTTGTCAATGTTGTCATTTGATTCCTTAACTCGGCCATTTCCTGAGCTAAATCCTCAGCTTCTTCTTTGCCTTTAACCTTTCTATTCTTAATTCTTCCTAGAAATATCATCCCCATTCACTTACTCAGAGCTTGCCTACTGAATTTTCTATAGTTGCAATTTCACAAATTATACAATTTACATGGTTGGCTAGGCTAAGTAGGCTTAAAATGTTTAATTATAGTAAATAAGCAAGTTTTGAAATAAGAAGGATTTTGTTGATTGAAGTTGAAAACATGTTTTACTTATTTTGAATACTGAATAGTTAATTTTTCACTTAAGAAAAAAAGTGTTGGAAAATAAAATTCACTTAAAACATTATGTTGATTTACTTTAAACCCAAGCCAAAACGTGCTTATATGCCATTATTAGTTCATAGATTTGACTAATCAACATAAATATATATCGAGATGAAGAGTATATCCCTGAATGGTTATAAACGTCCATTGAGTTTCCTTACAAGATGTTCATATTCATCTATCTAGCAGGACATTTCATACATCTTGTTCTTCAAATCTGCATCTGACGCTCTGGAATAGCAAGTTTAGCGAGGAGTGGAGCCAGAATGTTGCCACACGTGCTTGACAAAAATTTAGGAGCTGTCATAATTCAGAAAACAAGCAATTTCCAGACAAGTGCATCCTCGATGAACAAGAAGCATCAATAAGATATCGAAGTCCCATAAAAATGAATGCTATTAGAATTACCCAAGGTAAAAAAGTAAATTAATTTACATATATATCTTTGGGGAAAGTTCTGTCAAATGGTCAATATAAACTACTGCATTTTCATGATTTTGCAATCATTCAGAAACAAAACATGATAATTTTTAATGTAACTTATTTCCATGCATTTACTTTAAATTCATCACAATTGTACAGCCATGGTACTGCAAGAAAGGAGACAATTTTTGGAAACATGTTGATGGCTAGTTTATAAAACTAAATGCAAAACACAAAGAGTGAAAAAGAAAGGATTATACCAGTAAAAATTACTAATATAAGCTATATTAAGCCAGACTTTATAAAATTATGAACACTACAGAAAGATTTTTTTTTTTTTTTTTTTTCCTTTTTTAACTTTTACCTCGAAAACTTAGTACTGGATTTCTATTCGATGATAGAAAAGAAAAGTGGTAATTTACAACCAACACATTAAATTGTCACAATTCCAATTGAAGCCACGAGTGGAAAAAGAAATACAATGGTGAATATATGGTCATTTCATGGACACAGAGTATAACCGAGAGAAGAAAACTTCATTAATCTGATGACTTCAAAGCTCTGGGACTTTGAATCCTTCAACTTCTCCTTTTCCTTCTTCAGTTGTATCAGAGAAGAATATTAGAGAATCTTGATTATTATAATTATTACCAATATATAGGTATATCTCACAATAGACAAAATAAACATAATAATAACAGCTATGCCACAATAACTTTATTAGCAGACTGTGAAAAAATATTTGTGAAAAAAAGTTCTTTAAAATTTCTCTTGAAGTTTTCCATGGATTAACATCTCGATGTCCTTTGATGAGCATAAAGAAATTGTCCCATGATCAAAATCACATACAGAACAAAAATCCAACATTCAAGAGAAAACGCTCGTAACTATTTTGATTTTAATCTAATTTTCCTGAGTTCCAAATAAATCATTGATAATCAATGATCCCACACAAAAGCACAAGCATTTACCTCTCTACATCTTGCCCAAATATCCGAACAAAGGAGCTTTCGCCAACATCGACCAATTCACCAGACATCTGCAAACAAATAAATGTATTACACTCCTCAAAAGCTAACTTGTATATTCAAAAATAAAAACTCATCAAACAAAGCAAATATTAGCTGAAAACAGTTAAATGAATAAATAACCCATGGAAAAATAAGCTCAAATTACAATAAAAAGTGTTCTCTTGCCTATAACTATTTGTCATATCAAAAAACAATATCTTTAATGTAGACATTGGTAATTGAAATAAGATTCTTCAAGAACGTAATTATAAATGAAATCAAAATCAAATAAGCTTCAATTAAAAGTAACGTCAAATGAAAAAAAAAAAAACGAACGAACGAACAACCCAGACAATATATTTTATAGAAACATTTTGAAAAGTTCGTTGGGGCTGTCAGGAAGAGAACGAACATACCAGTTCTAGGAAGTTTTATTTCCAGTGCAAATATTCAATTGGAAACTGTTACATCTTGTTACACGTGGCACCGTGTGGCCGACCCACTGTAGCCCTTGGCCCACTCAAGCCAAAACACATTGCATAGTGGTCGAGGCCTTGAAACCAATGAGAAACGCAATGTAGTCAATGCTTCAATCGAGGCTCAGCATCATGAAGTCCAAAGACCATTCGCCGAAGTGGGTCAATCCAAGGCCCCTATGCAAAGCTCGAGCCTCCAAACTACCTTATCAAATCACTTTTTTCGAGAGATTTGTTTTTACACAAGTATCTTCTTTGAATGGTTGATGCGACGTTTAACATAGACTTTAAGTATCAAGTCTTGTCAAATGAAGTGGTAGCTCTGCACAATTAATAAATGCATAGCAAGCTAGTAAGTCAAAAGTGATGCCTAGAATTAGATATGTGATTTAAGGAAATGACGCCACGTGCACCCCCATCCGAGGCCACAATTCACTTTGTACCACTATAAATACTCCCCCATATAAGTCCTATAAGACTAATGCAACTTTGAATACAAAACACTACACATCATTTTTACTCTCTTACAAGTACCATCGAGTTTATATAGTATTCAATAACTACGATTAGTAATTATTGTACAATCGTTCCACTAATATATCGCTAGATTCCAAACGTTGCCGTCTCGTGCCTTTGAGCCGCTCTGACACCTATTCTTAGACCTTTCAAGACCGTTTGGCCATATTAGCGTATTGGACTTGACTTACGTGTGCGGGGGTAGGTCCTCTATCTGTTGTCTAGTGGCCCCACCTGGAAACGAGGTCAACAGAAACCACCCAAAAAATTACAAATACGGGATCTTTATTTAACTGAACAATTTTTTTATTTTTCAATATAAAGTTTCCATTTCTATGATTTTCAGGAGAATTTGATGATTATAATTCGATCACACTGAATTTGAAATGTTGGAGACATTGCGAGTTGTAGTGGTGAGTCATGAGTGGAGCTGGCACTGGGTTTGATATGTCTTGAAAATGCATCTGGACCCTGTTTTGATGTTTGTTTACAATGGAATTTGCACATTCAATCTTCAATCTTTAGATTATATTTCAATTTCATCTTTATCTTCTTTTTGCTAACTTCTCGACCTTCCATTTTAGGTAGAATCTTTTACTTGTTCAATGTCTTCCTCTTTTCACAAAGAAAGTTTTGTAATCAAAAGTTAAATAAGCAAAACAAAAAAAGTGTAAGAACTTGTTTGGGGATTGATTTTAAAGTTCAACTCTTGATTCTCAATAGGGATGGCAAAAAAATTTGCCCCACCTAGCCCTGACCAGAATGGGGCAAAAAAAATCCGTTCCAACGGGTTGGCCCCCATCCCATGAAGAAGGGAAATTTTTTTTTTTGAACATTATTTATTTTGGATTTTAAAATTTTGAATTTGTATTTTATTCTCTAATAAGAGAATAACTCGAAATTTTGCAAATGTAAATAAAAAAGGGGCAACCCCCACCCCGCCCCCGCAGCGCCGCGCCTTGAATCCAACCCATTTGCATCCCTAATTCTCAAGCAACCCGAAGTTGTTTTAGGTTTTTAGAAAGTTTTAAAAAAATTATTATAAAAAGAATATGGAACCTTTGGTAGCGGATTTAGAGAAGCAGCAAAATAGTAGTTATTCTGATTCTTTTTTAGAATCTTCAATTATCTATAACTAAAATATCAAATTTAACATTGGTTAATTAAATTAATTACCTTTTTTATAGTTATTATGCTTTTAATTTGTAATTTTATAAATTTTGGGATGTAATATCTTCATTTTAAAATAACCATAGTGAATACTTAGTTTTCAAAAAAATATAGCCTATGTTTGATTTTGTTAAAAATCAGATTTTTAATAAATTTGATAAAATTTGATGAAATAAATGATTGAAAAAATATTAATCCCATTAAGTCCCTATTTAACTCTTGTTTCTTAAAATTCATTTTTTTTTCACAAACTCATTTTCTACCACATATTTCACCAACTTCTATAAAAAACTATTTAAATCTAATTTATATCCAAATCGAAAAGGGCTAAATGCATGGTTGAAAATGAATTTGGAGAAAAATGAGTTTTAAAAATGAAAACAAGGAACTAGTAATATTACATATTGTCATAAAAGTAAATGTAAATTTTACAATGATAATAATACTAATATAAAATGATATCAGCAAAATTAATGTTCAGTTTAGTAGTTTTATACCTTTTAACAATAAATCACTTTGTTTGTCAAATGGTAAAATGTTGTTTTTGAAACACACATCCATACAAAGCAAAGTTTACCAAAAATATTACTTGTTTGGTAGAGATTTTAATTCAATTAAAATCAATTTTTTGACCGTTATTTCTCTATTCCTGTAGTCATTTTTTAATTCTTCTATCATAAATAGGACTCATTTTATCGTTAACGGTCAAAAAATCAATTATCAAAATTAGTACCAAACAAGCACTAACTGATACTTTTCTGCAATCAATTATTTTTATAGCACAACAAAAATTGATTCACTTAAAAACATAGCAATACCAAACCAAGCCCCCAAAGACTAGTATTGTGTTCTTCCTTTGAAGCTATTGTCTGATTAATGTGTTGAACTAGATGACACTATTAATCTTGGTGAAGGCAAATCACAATAATGTTCCTAATATGTGCGTAATTTTATTCTTCACTCACCACTTATGTAATTTATTTTTAAAAAATCTATAAATCATTTATATATGGTAGAGTTTATTTTCTCTTTCTATGATGAAACTCTTGCATACTATATCACATACTGATAAAAATTTCGTAAGCAAAAACATCATATTTGATTTAAATCATACGCGATGTTATAAATATCAAGTACTCTTTAAGCAAGTTTGATAAGATAGATTAGACACTAATTAATTACTAAAGAGAAATTAAATTATTCCGCGTATTAAATATGCCCTTAAACAAGAAATTAACTTGAATAGATCATAAATCAAAGTTCAACTTGGAAATACTAAAATTTGGTAATTAATGGAATCAATTTTTTGAACAAGTTTCCCAATCCAACTTGAAATACTGATCATTGGTGTGTGGCATCAATTTTTCATTATATTTCATCAAAAATTCCTCTGCAGTTGCATGGTTCTTGAATGAAACGACACCGTATGCTTTAGAATGGCCAGTTTCCTCGTTCTGAATGACCTTCACACTCAAAATCTATAAACAAAAAGAAATAAATTAACAGTTAATTAGTTTCATAATTAAATAAATAGGAAACTGCTAAGTACCTCTTCACGGGCTCTGTAGAAACACTTGTGAAATAGATAGTTCTCATCCATTCCAGGCTGCAAATTATCAACCCTAATTCTGCAACATCCATCTTCCACGCTTTCTTCTGTTAATTTACGTAATGAAGAATTAAACTGTTTTTCTTAATAATTATTGAAAAATTCATCTTGATTAATTTTTATTTTTTTTAATAACCTGAAGATTTTGCAGCAGCATCATATGGAGCAAGCCTGAAGATCTGCACTTGATATCCAGTGTTAAGCTTTTCCCAGATTTTTGCTTGATAGTGATTAATTTCACCAGATGAATCTTCTGCTGCTAATGTAATATAATAAATTACACCAGCAGTGGGTCCAATATTAAGATTCACAAATTTCAAAAACTTCAAAGTTCTTTCTAATTCTTTCTTATTGTGTTGTTCCACTGCATAGACTGCTGCAATCTCAGCCCTAAGATAAAGATGGTCTTGATTTTTGCTGATTCTTCTTATTCCACCCAACAATTTATGACCATTATCACTTGTCGTCACGTAGAATCCCTATATACATAATTTTTACGCAAAAAGTTACAAACGGAATATTTAGGGTTCGACCAAAAGTAAGTTATTCAAAAGTGTTGACGACGAAAAGTTGCCTGACTATTGTTCTGATCATCCATGTATTCGGAATAAGTTTCATGATCAAATATTAAGTCATCCATTGTCACAGGGAAACAATAAAACTGCAATAATGGATGATGAAATATAGGCTTTTATAGAAGAATTGAGAAATAGAGTACAACCCTAATATAAGGTATCCTATTTAAAGTTGGAATTTGGAAGAGGAGGGAAAACCTAGAAACTAGACGGTGTTTACAAACTGGACATGGAAAAATCCACTCAATTTATTTATCAAGGAAATTTGCGAAATATACCCTAGTGGTTAGGGTGTATTTATACTTTACATCTGTATTTTGCAAGTTTAGAAAATACAACATATGGGTTTTTGTTAATATAATATTAATATTTAGGAAAAAAAGATAGTAAGCAAAAGGTTATATATAATTTAATGTATATGATATGGTTTGTTATCATAGTTATTAAAATCGGACCGGACTGGACCATTTGATTTGGACAAGGAATCGTCGTATCGGACAATGGGCCGGTCCGAGTTCATTATTTTGACAAACAAACAAAGGAACCGGTCAAGAACCGGGTTGAACTGCTCAAAATCCAGCTGAACTGGACGGGTTTAAGAAGTAACAAATACGGTTCAATGTTTGAACCGGCTGGTCGCCAAAGTATACAATTTTTTTTTATCAAATTGGAAAGAAGCTAATTTGAACCCAGGCCTCTTCCTTGGAATGTCATGTCCTTATGTAAAATCCCTTTTTCCAACTTGCAAAGAGGATGATTCGAACATTTGGTTCCTACATGAAAATTTTCGTTCTTCACCATCTAGTAGGGCTGAACAATGAAACCGCCAAACCGAACCGAAACCGTTTTTCTGAAACCGTTGGTTTGGTTCCACGTGGATCTGTCAACGTTTTGATTTTGAACTGAACCAAATCGTTTCGAAGTGATTTGGTTTAGGTTTCAATCTTTGCAAACCGTTTCAAACCGTCAAACCGTTTATCAAAAAAATTTTGAAAATAAATTGGTGTAAATTTTATTTATCCCAGCTAAAACTTAACACATTTCAATTAAAAAGATACATTTATATTAGACATAATTCAATTAAACTCAATTCGACAAGTATACATCTCAATTAATTAATTAATTAATCATATTCAAATATTCATGAGTTAAACAATTGTGAATGTAAAGCCCTCAAATTGGGTAAAGTGTTGAACAACTGATGCTAATTCACATTTATCGATTCTTCATTACAATTGAGCAGACAATAAAATTTAGATTTTAATTCAAACGTGCACATTTCATTTCCTTCTAATAATTTTGTTCAAATTCAAGGCAGATTACCAAAATTCTTTTATTTTTTGGTAATTATTTTTATATTTTTATTGATAGTTATGTTGATTTATTCTAATAATAATCAGTTTGTCGGTCTCCCTTAAAGTAATCCACCAATATTTAGATTTAGTAGAAGCTTTGAATAATTCACAAAAAATCATAGTAGATTTATATCATTTAACTATAATCAATGAATTTATGTATTATATTATTATATTTATAAAGAAAATGAATCATACATTACACTTGCAAATGGACGACATTAGTATCGACTAAGCGTTTAAAATATTTATATCAGTTGTTGCATTATAATGATTATAATTATATAACTTTGATTTGTAATTTTTTTAATAATACAATTTATGTTTTAACATGAAATTTTAGACTAATATTTATGATTTAACTTATTTGATATATATTAATTGTTTTTGTTAAACCGTGGTTTTAAATCGAACCAAACCGAAAAAATTGGTTTGGTTTAGAAATCGAAATGGTTTGGTTTGGTTTTGAAAAATTTCAAACCGCTTTAAATGGTTTGGTTTGAAAATTTGTTTCAAACCGTCAAAATCGAACCGTGTTCACCTCTACAATCTCGGAAGCTAGTGAAACTACATGTGACAAGCAAGCTAAACATATATATCTAGATTTAGCAATTTTTCTTTCAAAAATATATTTTAATCAAAATTATGATCTAACAATGACCCATCGGTTCAATCACTGACCCGATGACTTTCCCGAGTCAACCATCGGGCCAAGTCTAATAACTATGCTTTTATTAACTTAGGGTAAAATTGTCTATTTAACCAATTATAATGACATATTTGCAAATTTTTCAAGAAATGGTATTTTTTTTTAACGGCGTGATTATTTTTTCATCATTTTTTTTTATTGAATACACCTCCATTTTAATTACATTAAAGGCCATTCGCTTTATTCATTACCACACTTACATCATTAAATTTTTTCATATCATTATTATTTTTAACATCTCTTTGAGAAAAAAAAAATCTTATCTCTACGCTTTAATCATGATTTTCGTCCAACAATATTGCTCTAAAATAGGGATCAAATATTTAATCGCATTTTGTTAATGAAAATATAATTTAATTATAAAAAATTATGGTGTGAATATATTTGGCCATTTATAATCATTATGTAACATGTAGTATTTATAAAATACGAATACTATATATGTCCTCGTTGCTTCGCGTCCATATATACTTCCCAAAACAGAAATCTGCTAGATTTCCTCAAGACATAAATGTTTTTAAATGGATAAGAATTTCGTTCTAATTGAAAGTCAAGAGTCTAATGCTAACAAGACTCTATCGTTCAATTCAAATTGATCTCTATCCGTCGATCAATTTATAGAAGATCAAGCATATACTTATTAGTCAATATTTGAGTTTATTTATTGTGGAATTTAACATGTCTCCATAAGATAGTCATTTATATGGGTGAACAAAATGATCAAACCAAACCAGAACCAAACCTAACTGAAAGATTCGGTTCTGTTCTACAAAATAATTTAATTGTTCTGATTCTTGGAATTGAGAACCATTTGGTGAGTTCTTGTTCTTGTTCTAGTTCTAGAATAAAAACCCAAACTCAATATTTAAATTTTATTATTTTAGTGTGTGTATTACATATTAGTGAATCACAATTTACACCCAAAATTCAATTGAACATCAAAACAAAATGGTCATGTACCTTCAATTTCTCATTTCTCAATGTAGAGATTGGAGATCCTAATTTATTTTGGATTTCTAGACCCTATTATATTTCTCGTTTCCTCTCCTTTTCAATTTATACATCGACTCTCATATGGACATCAATAACTACTGTCTATCATCTTCTATCGAGCTCAGCCACTACCGTCGCATGGATTTCTAAAATTGAAACCTCAACATTTATTCTCCTTCCTCAAATATTCTTGCTCTGTTTTTTTCTTGAACAAAATCAAACCAAACCTGGTTCGCTTCAGGTTTGGTTTCATTATAAAAAAAAAAAAAAAAGGAAAAAAATCATTGGTTCATGGTTCAGTTCAATTTTCTTGTAACCACAACCAAATGGAACCATGCCCATCCCTATTCATTTATTTGAATAGACAAATCGTGAAATTCATGGGCTCGTTTATGTTTTAATGTGACCGAATTGTTCGTTTGAGCTTAATGGGGTTTAATAGCATAGTAGTTACATTTTAAAATATCAACTTTATTGAGAATAATAGTTAAAAACTTTTATATGTGGATCTGTATTTCATTGATGTATTTCATTGGTATTCATCACTTAACAATTATGCTCTACATTATTAACTTAAATATTGTAATGTTATTAAGGTGACATTTCAAGCTGTGTTCTTAGAATGATTTTTAATTCAAGGTCGCTCGTAGTAAATAGATTTTAGTGGCATCAAAACTTATTTTAGTCGAAACTAATTTTTGCTTATTTTTTTGATTGAAATACGATCAACATCATGGCTCTCGTAAACGAACTAAAAGAAAAAATAAACTATCTAATGATTGTTGTTCTTAGCTTCTTAATAATCACCATTCACATTTTAGATGAAATTCACACTTAGAGTCTCTTAAATATACTTAATTGACGTAATATGAGATATCGAGCAATACGATAATCATTATACACAAAAAAAAGGCTAGTGTCCAATTCATTACATATTAATTTTAAAATAGAATTGTACAATTGGTATGTGTTTGTTATTGCATTAATTAGGAAAAACACCTTTAGGAATAATGACATCTCCAATGTTGTTGTGCCATGGATCATCCAAGTGCATTGCCAAGTTTTTCCAATGGCCCTGTACCAGGGTATGCTGATTGTTGAACACAAAATCCCACAAAAGCCAACAAGGTAAGACGACCTATACACAAAAATATAACGTAAGTATTCTAGTTGTCGATGATTCGAGTGGAATTTATTTTTATTTCTTGACTCGGTCCACAGACATTGTTCATATCACAAAGAAACAGGTGGATAGTGTTACCATTTTTAATTTCCTTGACTTTGAGCCCTTCAAATTTTTGTGGGTCCTTGGACTATCCCAATGGGTCAAAAGCTCCACCCGGGTACTTCTTCTTTTCCGGGTCTTTTTCCATACTTCTTTGGTGCTCTACAAAGGAAATGGCCAAGAATTCAATGACCAAAATGGTTGGGAGAGTGCCCCATGGAACCGGCCGGGTAACCCAAATAAGTAGCCTGCCCGCCAGGAAATGCTGCTCACTCTTTTGCCTTAACCCAGTTGCCCAATCCCAAGGCCTCTGGGATCAGGATTCCAGGCTGCAAAAAGGTTGTAAAAATCACTTTTTGAGAAAAAAAATTAAACATCTATAGTCATGTTCAATTATATGTCAATCTTTGTCTCACGATATACGTACATTTTTGTAGCTGTTTTTTATTGAGGTTTAATAAAAAGCTTACTCGTAATTATGTTTAAATAAGTAAATAATTTTTCATCCATTAAATTTGAAAATACATGTATTGTCAAAGCAACTTGTTTGTTATTTAAAAGTAAAAGAAAAAAAAAGTAACATATCCAAACATGTTAATTACCACAGCAAGCACAGCCCATCGACAGTGAATGAGTTCGGACTCCTTGTATCTCTCTAGGTTTTCTGGGACTTCACCTAGACGAAGTGGATCAAATCCGAAGTCTCTGCTAACCAAAAGAAAAATGATAAGTTCATTAGTCAGATTTTTGCTTCTTTTTTATTTTTTTATGTTGTCAGAGTGA